GTAAAGCATCAGTCACCATTTTTGGTGTAGTAGTATTTACTTCGGTAGCAGTTGATAAATATGCTTGCGTTCTGGTTTTGTGGTTGCACGAAAAATTTGGAATACGCAGACACCTGCAATCGGGTAGTGCTCAGTCAGCCAGTCAGTCCGTTGCTGTCCCAGTTACATTAGATCTCCATGACATCTGTCACAGGGGGTACGAAAAATCACTATCCCGCAGACAAAACCACTTTTTTTGTTTCACACTGCTTCTGGGCTTTTTATGAAACCATTTGTCAGCTACTTCCTGTCATTTAGGAGCAAATAATTCTGAAGCATTTCAACTGATTACATCAGATTGCGCATTGATGGGTTGAAGTTTTCACGAAATCACAGTAAGAATGAACATTTAGATGAAATCGGTTGGGGAGCAGGATGGAAACGAAAGCGCTCTTCCTGCAATGATTACTTTTCGAAGCAAGTTATGAGTTGTTTATTTTGGGGGGTTATTTGTTGCTCATCATATTTTATAATTTTTCCTCAAATAAGTTTGTTTTCTGTGATTTCAGTAAATGTTCTGCATGTTCAATCTGAGAGCCATTTGTTCGGGTACAGCCTATATGGAAACTTGATCAGAGTTAAGAGAATTTATTTATTATTTTGTGTTTTTCTGAGTTCAGTGCAAACACTTCTACAACTCTTTTTACATAGAAACACTTCGCCCAGTTAAACGCTTATCCATGACGCAAACGAAGTGTCTTTGTTTCAAACCTCCACTACTATCTGCTCTTGCAAGCCAAAAGTCACATTCGCGAATCCTTTTACTGTTTCCAGTATTGTTGTCAAGTCACAAAGCATATCCGCGTTCTGACTTCGTCTGTTGTTTGCTTTCAAAATATGCAGACATCATATTTAAATTGTGATGTTGAATGCAATCATCCAAACAATTCAAAGATAATGCCACCTGTCGATGTCAACCTTCTAAAAGAACCCACATATACTGCATCTACTCGCTTGTCCTCAGTAAAGGAAATGAGACACAACGAAATAAATAAATAGCCTTATTTTACTAATTTGCCCCTAATCTCTGAATGTTTTGAGTATATCATGACGTCGTTTGACTTTTCGGAGTTTGCAGATAAAGCTGATCAGTAAACATTTTCTAGTATTATCTGGAACAAATTTATTCAATAATATTTATCTAAAAATTATTAGTGTATAAATCTTTCATTTCTTTTAGGTTCACCATCACGTAGCAAAGCTTAGTTGCATTAAATGAAATAATTACTAACCGGTTCATTTGAAAATATACTAGATATGCATTTACAAGTTCTTAATAACTAAACTTCACTGTTCTATTAGCAAATTGACTACAAAATACGTTGTATACGAGAAAAAATAGTCCTACCTACAATATTTGATCTATTTAAAAATTATGGTTAATAACGTTATTTTAAATTGAATTGCACTGTTGGGTAGCAAATTAATGTATGTACAGTTAACCCCGCAAATAAACCAAATAGGTTTGCACATCAAACCTACTGCGATAAAATGTGGTGCAAAAGGTACACCACAATTGCTAACAGAGGTGGGTCTTTTGACTGCTATTATACTATCAAGATATATTTGATTAAATTTAGATTTGAAAGCTAAAATGGATGTACGTCTGTACCGTATCATCTTGTATTTTTGTTGACCGCGAACGCGGTACGGTTGTTCAAACGATTATAACACCTTCGCTGAAAGATTTAAGTCTGTGAATTGGAGAAATGTCTAGTTCCTAGGCACGTTTACAGTAATACGACATTCACTTTTGCCTACCTCGGGAAACAGTTTTAGAAAACTTTCCGAGGGATACAGCAAAAACGGTGAATTAAAATTTCATTACTTTCTGTTTATTAAAATCAACGAATAGAGATGACTGTGATATCTTAAACAAATACCGAGGTGTATGTCATTCATGTAGTCTTTTATAGAAAATGAACAACTAACGGATAGTTTGAATCAGCATATTAGATCTTGCAATTGTTTTATCTTTGCTAGGTTTTTTAACGTGATGTTAACCGATCAGTAATAAAGAAATTTAAGAAGAAAAAACCTCGGAGTCTTTGTCTTACGTACCTAATGCGATTTGTTGTGAGGGAACTTCAGACTCAAAGCAAAGTGCTACAAACGAGCACATACGTGTGCGCCTAAATAGACACATGTTTTGTTGATTTATCAACTTCAAATATAGAAGTTCTTACTGTGAATAACTATTTTGGGTTATTCTTTCAATGATACAGCATTTTGTTGCAATAACGCACTTACCTGCAACTTTTATCACATAATTAACCATAGATGAATTAGTTTTCATTCAACAATTTGTTTTTTAACTTCATGTTAAAATTTTGCACCTTTTGAATTTAAGATTGTTCTACTTAAAATGGTAGTAAGTTGGTGAGCTGATACGATATCGCCAAACCTCAGTGAAATTGACTTCACGTACGGTTGTTGTGTTCTAAACTACTTAAATCATTTTCATCTTCATCTTGACTTTTCAAAGCGCTTAGAGTTCACGGTCTTCATCTCGTAATCTCACTATCCTGACGGTTTCCTAAGGATTAAGCTTTCGGCATCTGCCAAGTTCCTGTATTCACACTAATTATCGCTTTACGTTGGTCTTTTCACAATTAGAGATGTGTAAGAATACTTTGATTATACTTTCACAATAGAAGAACGAGACAACTTGGAGTAAAATGAACAGTAACCGTTTCATGTTTACACAAGCCTGTCCTACCGTTTTTATTTATAACAGCACTATCTTTATTTCAGTTGCTTGAAAAAGATTTCTGCTCGTTAGGCCGCAGGTTAACAGTCACAATCCATGTCTAGTCACACATGTAGACACCACTAGCATCAAATACTTGTGGCTCTCTCACCAAGGACGATAAACGGTATGAAATCAGGCCTTTTACTAAGTGCACATACTAACTGGTTAGTGAGTAATTCACTCACATCTATAAACAAAATCTGAAAAAGACTTACTCTTCCCACATATCCCCGGTATTCTTTGTTCGCTCTTGTTGTATTCTGGGAGAAAGACACCAACCAGCTTTACAAAACCTTTGGTCGCAAAAACAATTTTCTTTTTTTACTTTCTATTTTTTTGTTTTCCATTGTTTATACCCATGCAATAGTCTCTGACCACTTGCCATAATTCAAACTTTTACTCAACCGTACAAGCTTTTGAGTTAAAAGCTTCAAAATATAAACATCAGTGGGCCAAAATAATAGAATGAATTATAGGTGACACATAATATGGGCTTGTGAAGAAATATTTTGTATGAGTAGTGCATTGCATACGGTATTTCGAAATCCACGTTTTGGCTCGATGTCTTCTCGTTTTGATTTACAAACGCATATATTTATACGACCAACACAACTGATTTCCTTTTGAGTTTATCAATGAATTGGTTATAATTATTTGTGAATACTCCTAAATGGAAAGCAAATGACTCTATGTACGAGTTACTTGCTTACAAGATAGTATTCCAAGAACGTGTATACTTCATGTCTACGCCACACTATGTAAGTTGTTTTGTATGCGGCAGACATGATAAATGTCATCACTGACATCAGATTTACTTAAATCTATTCCTTTGAAATTGATAACCAAATTTACTTCTCTTGCAACAGCTAAGCAGAAAAAATAAATATAATGAATAGACATCTCATTCCTTCATAGGCAGTTGATTTTAATGCGCGCTTACCTTCATTAAATGAATGACCGACAAAATCAGATGGCTAACGTAATGCGTTTTTACACTCTCTCTTATATCGTTGCTAACAGTCGTGCTACCTTCAAAGAAGTACAAGCCATCTCTTCTGCTATCACAGTTAATAAACCATCAAACATTCAAATGATTCTAATGCATGCTATCGTTTCTTATTAATAATCTACTAATCCCTAAGTTGTTGACATTTAATTTCTCATAAAATATTTATGATATTGTTTTCATACATTCATTTGTTACCTCATCACAACATCGTTTCAGATCAAATAGATCAAGATAACTGCAGAATGCATTTCAAATGATGTTGCATCGGGACCACTAAATTTCTCAAAACAGATTCCTTAATAAAAAAGTTTAGCCAGAAAGGACTCAGGGAGTTTCAGAATTCGTGCACAACTGAAAACATTTTTCCAATGTAGAAATAACGTAAACTCTAATTAAACGATGAGTTTTACACTGATACCACTTGATTCACTTTTATTAAGTTACCGCCAAATAAGTAACATTCACACACATTTAACAAACCAGAAAAATAAAAGTGAGTTTTATTTCCTCGTGCAGCTGCGGATGGACTGAAACATTTCATTGTATGTTATATTATAAAACGATATTTTGTTATTGCTTCATTTTCGAAAGTATCATTTTGTAACATATTTAACCAATTTATCCCTACGTTTCACTAATAAACTGCCGGCTGTTAGAGGCGTAAGAAAATAAATGTGGCACACAGTTGCATACTCCATTTATTCGCGTTATTGACCAATCCGATCTACCGAGGTTCTCTCATCCTTGGTTCGATGAAATCGGCCGATCGGATTGGTGCGTTGAGTTCGTTGTGTATTCGGTTGAAACTGAGAACGGTAGCTTGTACAGCTCGCGTACTACACGTATTTGTTTGTATCATTGCTTTAATGTGAATCATCATTTGCTAGGTTATGTGGGGAATTACACGGAAACAAAGTTGTGCTATTCAAGGAAATTTCCCTACCAAACACAGGTGATTGAGCTGAACTTTGTTGGAAAACCTATCTGTGTTTGGACAAAATGATGCTTCTCATCTGTATAAAAAATTATCTACTCTCAAATTTGGCGGAAGATTTTGGAGTTAATGTAAACTGTGCTCACAGATTTCCCCGGAGGTTAGGCAAATTGGTCTAACCGATTATATACCGAATGCCTTTCACTTTGGTCAATCACGCAACTCTGGATAGAATTGACCTTTCCGAATGTCACCGACTCTCTAAAATGCTTGCAGGTTGTGAGATGAAGCAACCACTAACACAAAGTCAGTCTAAGGATCCACTGAAAAGTTCTGCTGGCTCGAATGAACACTTGGATGGAACTGATGCCTCCAGGTATGTGTGATAATTGAGTGGCGAATAACCAAGTAAGGACAACGTCAGTACAAACACGAACAACATTGTTTTTCTTTCTGAAAACTACTTTTTATCTGACAAGCTTCACAGAACAAGAGAGAAATGAAACAGATAAGTATCGTCAGTTTTCAACGGTATCAACTGAAATAATATCATACAGATTCAACCAAATTTCCAAAATACCAACGAAAGGTGTTGCCGGTGTATTCAAATTATTTCTTTACCCAAACACACCCACGCACTTAAGAATTGGAGACTAAGTCCGAATAAATTATATCTGCATGGTGTTTAACGGGAACGCCTGGAAGGAATGCATATTTACAAACATTAAACTATTGTGCCCAGATTCTTCATTTGGTTGACAAGTAGCCGGAGCGTTTCCCCAATTAAGCAATTATTATCATAGAAATACTTAACATTCTCTCCAAGGGATCAGATAAATAATATGACGGAGAGAATGATTCACTTAATTTCGCCGCTGTGAATTCAAAGCCGTTTTTAAAAGACTGATGCACTTTGGGTTAAAATGATATTTTGGATAAGAAAAGCAACAGTATCAGTGAAACAAGCTAAAATTTATTTTTATTTTTGTTCAAACAATTCCATTTATGCTGCCCATGGGATGTGGCTCAAACTCTTTTTCTTCGCTTAATTAAATACCATGGTGATATCCACTACGTTAACAGCAGTTTTTCAAAATGTTGAAGAATAGAGACCAGATACTGATTCCAATTTTGGCGGACAAAAACCGAAAGCGAGAAGTCAAAAATAATCAATGTGACTTTTGACTTAGATTGTTGCTCACCGTGAAGAGAGATCGTTTTCTTATAGCAGCAGCTTCCAGCTGCATTTTTCACAATTAATTCTGTAAATGGATCAATGAACGTTTTATGTTGTTACTAAAAGTTACACTAAATATTTTCGTGCCTGACGTAAATTTGTGACGTGACCAATAAGGTGGGGTCAGCTTTCAAATTTGTTCAATTAGAGCTTACCAAGACATTCATTCAGATGCACCAGTAATGATCAACTTTTGTATCAGCACACATTTTGGAATCTTATAATACAAATCTTCGAATATGGTATTCTGGTGCATAAAAACAAGGCATTAGCCTAAGATTACCAGTGAACGCAATTTGTTCTTTCGTGCACTGCAATAACCCGACGATTGTTGCGAGCAATTGCGTGCGGTTGCCTGCGCTTTGTCACATCAAAATTCTTTTAATTAGGACATTGTCCAGAACATTTCGTTGTTTGTGCATACGTTACTAGTTTATCCATTGTATCAGTTAACTGCGAGACAAGTTCAGTGATAACGAACATTGTTATTGAATCGCACAACAGAATGTGTAAATTATATCCTGACAACTAAAAAGCAGTAAGAGCTAAGCTACCTTAGGTGAAATATATGGCCAAGGTTTAGTTACTTAGGATTACTCAGTGTTTGGCAAACAAAACAGATTTCATTCAGGTCCACATCGCACTCCACAATGTAAGTGCAGAATGCCTAATAAAGAAAAGGATAACGACTACTGAGGTGATGATGAAGACAATGACTCGGATAATGATTATGATTTTGGTGAATTGGACAGTGCTGAAAGTGATATAGATAACAAGATTCCAACTACATTGTTACTGAAGTACAATGTATATCCATGATGTTCCAAAAAATTACTTTACAGAAATATCCGAAAAATCAACCAATTTTCAAACGACTCTGAATAGGTTCTAGGTTACATTTGACCTAATAAAAGAAACAAATACATTCTACCAAAAAACACTTTACTGGGACAAAAATGCTTTATATTATCCGCGTATTTCACAATGACCCAACCATGTGAGAATAACATAAATGAAGGAAATCATATGCAACTATTACTTTCATTATCGCGTTTAAAACATTTATCTGGAGGTTCTTCGGTTTTATGATCTACTTTTTCTAGAAAAATTATTGTTAATTTCTTTTTCATTTTTTCAGCTAAAACAAACACTAAAATAGCAATGTTTGGTAGCATAGTTTAAAAGAATCCTATTCGTTTTGCATTGTATTTTTTCATATCAATATTTACTCAGAAAATGTCCGAAAATCCGATTTCACACAATGTGTTTACTGACCAATAAGGTATCCAAAGGAATGATTTTCGTTACAAATATTTTCATAGCAAATATTGAATAGGAAAGTACGAAACAAAATTATATATATATAGGGGTGTAAATATATTTTTATTTTTAGTATTAGGATTCTCTGTAGCTTAGCACATACACCAGATGAACCTTCGGAGCACTGAGCTTTTTAGTTTGTAAAATGTGATAGTTTCTATCTGAATTCTTTTTAGTTTGATCACCTCTGTCATCAGGTAGTATGCTTACAAAATTAAGTTGCTGTAGAAATTATGATTTGTGTTTCGGTTCAGTGATTTTGGTTGATTTTGATAAACGTTTATTTCAATTGGGACAGAAACATTTGGTATAAGCGCGATCAAATCTGCTTAAATGATTTTTCTGTGAATGTGAACTTAAAGTAGGCTGCTTAGGCTATATAAAATGTTTTTCGATGATATGTGTATAAAAAATTTGATGGTCATCAACGCTGATTATAATTGAACCGTGTGTCTAAATTTAAGCATATTTGTTAATGAAAAATGATGATGACAAATTGTAGCTATCGAGGTGGACATAAAACGGAATTAATGACTGAAGTAACTGTCGTTATTCAAAGAAATTGTTCGTTAGTTATTTTATTATACAACTTACCGCATAGAGATGACATCGGAATGTTGTCTTTAGTATTTTGTTTAAAATTAATCCGAATAGTAAAAGGTTTGTTTAGTATTTATTTCTATGACTAGTTGGCCCCAGAGAAGCAATTGTCGACAACTCTAAAGGAATGTGGTTCTAACAACTGGACAGAGAAAAGCAATCAATGTGCAAAAAGGATTATTATATAAATATTTTGAAATGTGTGGACGTTGACATTAGTCACACCTTGTGTTATCTGTTTTCAGCCAACATTGAATACACGCCTGTAAATTATAAAAGAAAAACAGAAAAATAGTTTCAATAAACAGTTTAAATGTAATACATTCAGCACTAACCCGGTGGGATGCCAACTGAGACATCGATATCGATTACGCCTTTGTGGAACGCATTCCGTACCAGTTGAGCTATGAGGCTACACCGATAGCACTGATTTTTTCACATTTGCAACACTCATCTAACTTAATGAGATACAAAAACCACCAGACAGCATGAAGGCTGACTTCCAAGATGGAATATCCTTGGAACCCTCCGGAATCCACCACATGAACTTCTAAAGCCATTGTAGGCGGATTTGAATTTGAAATTTGAAACGATCGGCGCCATCGGTGTGACCTTGTAGCTCAGCTAGTAGAAGAAGCTATAAGGAAAGAACTAAGAGGCATCCGTGAGAAGGTTGTAACCCATCGAAACTATTGAACATTTCACAATTCAAAAACTCATAAATGATCTTTTCATGTACTGTTGTAGTCCTCAGAATTATCGTTGGAATTATATTGTATCGGATTCCTGTTTAATGGGACACAAGCATTTAAATGGATAAAAAGTTTGTAGATTCAAAGGAAACACATTGTTTTACATGATTTCATTTTTAGATTTTTGATTAACGTTCGTAAGGGTTTGATTAATAAGTCCAATACGGCTTATTTTCTTATTCTGGACTCCATGTGATCTTTCATCCTCACAACCAGAGATTATGGTGAAACTCGAAGAATTTCCTTAGAAAATTTATCAATTTAAAATTAATATTGTTTTCCTTTGAACTGTTTTGTACCTTCTTATTGTGTTTGCGTGTAAATGAAATAGTCTAGAACTTTGAAAGCAATTCTCCTTTAAATTAAGCGAAACGCTTAGCGTGCACAAAGCAACAAATATCTCTTGTTCTATTGAGCTAAGTACTCAGTATTTTTTCAGTTATAACCAGGTATGCATGAAACGTCCGATATACTTTCCTAACCACCACTCTTTTGAATGCACTCCCCAAACATTACTTGTCATTCTTATTAAAACATCTTATTTGGTGCATTTTATTGAAAAATGATTTCGCTCTGATAGATGTATTTCGCTCTCTGTTGATTTAGTAATAGGCGAATGGTGCAAATTTTGTGAAAACTAGAATAAGTTTACCGTAAATCAAAGTGAATGGTTGTAATACAGCTCACAAACCGCACCAAGGAAAGGTAAGATAATAAAATTTGGGATGTAAATGAAACTGTTAGATTTTTTATCCTAAAAGAATTGAATATTCATTGTTCCATTCTTGAACTGATATTAGTTTAAATTTACAACCTCTATTTCTCAGTTGCACGAGGTTTTAAGTGTTAAATTTTCTGGAAATCCTTTCTGTGGTGTGAAGAAAACGTTTTTGATTTATTCCAACCAACCATTCTGGTAAGCATTTAAAGACTTCCAAATGGCCATCCAATGATGGGTAAAATATAGAACTTCACGTTTTGTCTTTTGTTCTTCTGTTTTCATTAAGCCTAAATGTTTACGATTCTGTTCTTTTAATTTGTGCTTTCTCTGTTTGATACATATCTGAGCATCACACTCTATATTCCCTATAAATGAACTTCGTACTCTGTGACAAACCAAGCGTGTCCGGACGAAATACACATCAGTTCATATGTTGTCCGGGAGTATTCAGTTCAGTTGTGGGGGGAATTCCAAATGAGTCTCACGGACGATCGTAAAGTACAAACGGAACAAGACCGACAAAGGTGTTATAGAGATCCTGTGATCTGCATCGTTCTATAGAACATTTCACGTCGGTTAATCTGAATTGACTTATGACGATAGATGATAAATGTAAAAACAAAGAACGAGAACCGCTCAAACAGAAATCTCCCGACCAATGTTCCATCAAAGCATCCGCTTTCAGACACTCTAACCCAATTATTCACACTTCGATAATTTAACTTGTCCAAAGGCGATCAAACGTA